TGGTGTCTTTGTGTTTAACAGCCAGGTCCTCGGACCCATTAGAACACTTCTCACTGAATCCCAGAATAGAGAGGTGACGGAACTATGCCTCCCCAAAAGAACCCAAACAAAGCACATTCGCTGGGGAAAATGAAGCAAGATGGGCAGCTGAATACTGGCATGAATATGTCAAAGAGGAAGTTAATTAAAAGCCGAAGAGAATGGAAAAGCCCGCTGTGTCTGCCAGTGGAGGAGGCAGCTGACAGGCACACAGGAGCACACCAGAACCTGCCTTTAGAGGCCCTCTAACAACCACAGAGCTCCTCGGGATTCACTCCCACCTCACCACTTTCCACGCTACAGTGAAAACACACAACTTAAAAAAGAAAAAATGTCTGGCTCACCATGCTTTGTAAGATCAAAAATGTCCGCTGCAAATGAAACGAATAGGGGGCTATTCCCATGTTCAACAAAGGCAAAAAGAAAAAAACGAAAAGGGCAAGTCTGCACAGGCCACCTACTGCAGTGTCTTAATCTATGCCAGGGAAAGCCAGGGCACCCAACACAGGAGTGACTGAGGAGACAATGATCCTGAGTGAGGTGGTGGGCAAGTGCAGGGTTTACTTCAGAGTCCGCTGCAAGTCCCATGACCTAACAAAGCTCGTTGCCAAAATGGCAGATCTCCCAGTCTCTGAACACCTCAAAGTGGATGACCAATTCTTACTTAATTTATATTCACAATAATTACTTTAGAAAGTTTAGGCCCTAGATCAGAAAAGAAAGAAAGAAAAACTTCCATTCTAAAAATGAACATGCTACCTCGATTCAGAACATGGAAAACTACACAAATACAAAAATATTATATTGTGGCATACAATATATTTTTTCTTAACTGAGAATCAAATGTAAATGTAAATGTCCACACCTTACAAGTAAAATTATAGTCTTTATGCAATCCGCTACTGTCACCCGTGAGTTCCCTCAACACGGTGTTAATGCATTTTCCAACTGAGTTTTCTAACTCATTTTAAAGCATCCCAATTGTTAAAATACAGGAAAGTAATGGACAGATGCATGTTGTTTTGACTTAAAGAGATAATTCCTAATGCAAGTGGCCAGATTTTTGAAAATAATCAAGAGGATGACAGTATCCTTGCTTTTCCAAGTGATGCTCTGTCTCCCACACTGGGCCTCTCAGTTCTCTCCCCATTCATGCTGACTCTCTAAACCAATGTTCTTCCCCACATTCAAGAATACAGTCATATTTTGGAGATCAATATGGCTCAAAGATTTCTGCCAAATGCTTCCCAAATCATCTAACACACCCCTCTGAACACTCACGAAAGTACTCGCCAAGCAACCCAAAGCTGTAGGTATTTCACCCCCCCTGGGGTGAAAGATTACAAATCCCAGTACTAGAGCAGATACCCACCCTGGGCCCTGAAAGCATCACTTCACCTTCCCCTCGAACTGGTTACAAAATGCCAGGCCACAGCAACGAAAGGCCACAAATAATTACACAATTGTCAAGCTGCAAACGGGACAAAAGCAGAGCAATATCAGAAACCATGCTGAGGAGAAGGGAAGAGAAGTATCTCAGTCATTTCCAATTTGCTCCTAGACAATAACCAATAATAGGGCTGATGGAGCACTATATGTGCTTTCTAACTTCCAAGAGAAGAAAAAGAAAATGTATTTCATGTGCTCCCTGTATACAAGTACAACCAAGACCCAAAAGGCAGGGGGAAGGGAGGTTCTTTTGGAGTTGCTACAACTACAACATGCAGATGAGAAATATTTCTTTAAAGTTATACAATAGGCTCACTCTTTTCAAAGCGAAAACAAAATACACAGACTATGTCACAGTCCAGAGCTTGTCACATAAAACATCTGACACGCAGGCAAAAAGCCAGAGGACAGACAAGGCTGAACCAAATTAAGAGAATACCGGGGGAAAGGCCATTTCTATAAACACAAGGGGTCACAGGTATGTAAATGACTGTCTTCTATACAGGCGGACGAGTGCATCAAGTTTTATCAACTGATTAAAAATTCAGTGAACTTCTTCCCAATCTAAAAGTGAGCAATCTTCCCCATGGTTTCAAGAAATCTGGTGTCTGGCATTTTTTCCAGCCAGTATACCTTGCCATCCATTGTTGGGTGATGCTTTATTACGATATTTCAATTTCATGTGACAAACGGTTTCATATAATGCCCCAAAATGCTACTCTCTGAAATGGAATGCCATAAATAAAATATGGACTTGGTTACCAGGCAGCATGCACAACACATATGGTACATTGGCCCAAAAAACACATTTTAAAATGCTTTAAAAGTTAACTTAACAATGTAAGCTGTTTATACCCATTCTCAGAGAATTGTCCCCTAAAGGCCAATCTTATTTTCTATTGTCAAGAGAATATCTGGATTAACTTGTTTAATTTGCTAACTTGAAATTCTCTTCACCCGCTCTGATCTCCACCCCCACCCACCCACCGGTTCATTCTTTATCTTAGAGGGGAGGAAAGGGGGCCATATATCTCACAATGTAATTTTAAGCATAATGCTGCCCGTTTGAATTAAAACTGATGCAGCTTCTGATAAAAGCCTAATAATCAATTCTCCATTCTCATTACACTACAGAATCATATGGACGCAGACCAATTTCTTAAGTTTGTGGACCACTCTCCCGGCTTATTACCCAGCAGTGCAGCTGAGTGGAAAGATAACCACGTTCATTCTCCTTATCTGTAATGATGTAATGCACCCCAGCCCTGGGTCTAGATGATTGGGGAATAATGAGATTGTACAACTGCAGGATGACAAACAATGCTGCGGGTATCTCCCTGATACACTGAACCCCACGACTCCTGTGCAAAGAGGAGGCTCAGAAAACAGGCACCGATCCTGCCCCTCGGATGAAGTTAGCATCTTTTGGCCAGGGAAGCATCTGCTCTCGCACTAAGACAGCAATACCGTCAACTGAGAGGAGAGCCGTGCAAACACACTGTTTCCCAGCCCCAGCCAGGACAGTGCGAGTGAGTATCCTGCTTCTCTTTGTGTTTAGAATCAAGTGTCATCTAAAAATAACCGGTTGGTAGGGAAAAGTCACGGCACGGTACAATGCCAAGAACGGGAGATCAGAGACTACTCTGATAACTGATGCAGCTCTGGGCTCACGTTTGTTTGGAAAAACTAAATCTGCCTCCATTTTCTGTGCTAGAAAAATCATCGCTGTCTGTCACCACAGAAACCTACCTTTTGCAGAAGCTGGGAACCCGAGTACTTGGCAGCAATGGATTTTATCTCCCCACCAAAAGCGGAGGCCCACAGCTTCACCCTACAGGGAGAAAGGGCAGAGGAAGAAATGTAACACCCCGTGTCACCGTCACACACTCACACACCGGGCTGTGGATGAAGGAGCAGGACGATAGAACATTAAAGAAAAACGGAAATAAAGATAGAGAAAGCACTTTCTTACAAACTACTGGTACCAAACTGCAGAGCGCAGCGCGGGAGGGGGGTCGGGGGGTCACTGGAGTTCAGAATGCGGAAAGTCTCCCTGGCTCTCCCAAAAGACCACGGGCTTTCATAGAAACAATAACCTGGTTTGCTCAAATACTTAAAATGAGCATCACCTGGCAAATACTACTCTGAAGAAATCCACCCATCCCCCGCTTCCCGGAAAAGTGGGATGGCGAGGTAACAGAGAGGGGGACCATTGGCCCGCCGAAGTTGCAGCAGGTAAACAGGCTCTAAACTTGGCGCTGTCACTTGAGGCGAACCTCTCCAGGTTTTACTCTCCAACCCCAGGGAAGGGGCGAGAAGGTCCCACCCCAGTCTCGCCGTTCGGTGCCGATGCTGGGAGGCAGGTGGAAGAGGCGAGGCCCGCACCCGCCGCGGGTCTTGCCTAGCGGCACCTGCAGACACCCAAACTTGGGCGCCCCGGGTCTCTCGGGCGCCGGCAGCCCCTCCCGGGGAGTCCCAGCACTAGGCACTTACACGGAGAGCGGGATCTGCTGCTCCGAGCGCACCACATCCCCCAGCGCGGCGTACAAGAGCGCGGCGGCTAGGAGCGCCGAGGCCCCCCGGGACGCGCAGCGCTGCGAGCCCAGCCCGGCCATCCTGGGCTCCTTCCGACACGCCGGCGGCGGCGGCGGCGGCGGCGGCGGCAGCGGCGACTAGAGCGGCCGCGGAGAGCTGCGCCGGGCGGGCGGTGGGCGAGCGCGCTAGGCTGCTTGCTCCGCCGCGCGCCGCCCCGCCTGCTTCTCGCGCGCCGGGCTCACTTGGGGAGCAGGGAAAAAAGGAGCGGGGGGGGGGGGGGGGGCCTGGGGGGGGAGGAAGGCGGGGAGGAGGCGGGAGGGAGCGCTGGGGAGGAGGCAGGCGCGGGAGGAGGGAGCGAGACGCGCCTCTTGCCGCGGCGGCTGCCCGGCCCCGCCTCGGCGGCCCCGGGGAGTCCGGCGAGCCGCGGCGGGAGGGCGGGAGGCACCTGGCGGGCGGAGACTCGCAAACTCGGGTGTCCTTGGCCGCCGCGGCTCCAGCCTTGCCCGGCCCGGCCCACTGCAGCCGCTGAGTTCTTTACAACTCTGCAGTCCGCCGCCCCCGGCGCGGCTCCGGGGTGGCCCCGGGCGGTCCCCAGGCCTTGGCGACTGGAGTGGATGGAGGATGGGGGCTCGGGAGCGAGGCCGAGGACCCTGGTCCTCCACACTTGGCCAGTGGTTGCCTCGGTCGAGAGCCTCCCGGGAGGGTCGGGGGCGACCGGGTGGGAAGCTGCGGAGCCTAGAGGTGGCGCGACCCCCTCCCCACGCCCCTCGCGATTTCCCGGGGAAGAGGCAGAAGTCAGGAAGGGGACGGCTGGCAGCGGCGGCGGCGGACCCGCTAGGACTGCGGAGGAGCAGGCTGGGGATGGGACACGGGGTTCGGGGTCTGGGGAGTGCACCGCGGCGTGGCGGCCCGTCCAGTGCTCCAGGGCCGCGGTGACTTGTGGAAAGCGCGGAGGGTGGCGCTGCAGTCGCTGCTAGGCTAGGGAGTGCTGGGCTTAGGCATCCATCCAGTGGCCGCACAGTCACCTCTGGCGCTCGGGACCACGGGCCCGGGGTCCGCAGTGCTAGGCGGTGCACCCAGGGGCAGGGGTGTCGGGGCGGGAGAGGAAGGAAACAGCGCCGAGTCCATCCTGACCCGTAAACACCCTTCATTCTGCAGGGAAAAAGACTGCTCCGAGCCCGGAGGCTCCCCACACCAGCCCCAGCCAGGGTGGAGGCAGCTCAGCGCAGGCAAAGCGCATTCTGGATGCCCACAAGGGAAGCCCCAGGAAGCCGCTTTCGCCGCGGCCCCCACCCTTGGAAAAGCCTTGTCCCCCTTCCTTATACAAGCTCTAGGGTGTGGCTAGGAACTTTGTGGAGCCCTCGCGCGGGCTGGCGGTAAAGACCCGAGTGAGGCTGAGTCATCCTCGCCTGGCGGAGCGCAACTCGGGTGACCGGGGCCAGCAGTGAGCTCCTGACCTCGCCTAGTCTCCTAGCGCTCCTGACGCCTGGGTTCTCCTTATGTGCTTGTTTTTCCGCCTCCGGGACGTCATACGTTTTTTTTCCTGTCATCCTGCACCCCTGGGTTTGCAGGGAACTGAGAAAAGGTGGGCTCTGGCTTCCACTGGGTGGTATCGGGCTAGGATCCAGCCCGGCTCTCCTGCACAGCAGTCTCCAGAAAAGTTATCTTGGCAGCGAGTGTTTGGATTCCTGAGTTGGCTGTGAGGGGCTCTTACCGGGCCTTTTTCCGCGTACCGGCTGACCCTAGCCCGGATGGGCGTAAAAGCCAGTCATACACCTACCCAGGGAAGCCGCCTCCGGAGCAGGCCCACCAGGAGAGCGCCAAGTGCACCCTGCCCACGGGTAGTGTCTCTACGGATGACTAACTGGTTATAATGAGTTCTCCGCTTCTGTGCACACCTCCCGCCTATGAAAACGTGCCAGCCTTTCCCAAACAGAAGCAAGCACAGCCTGACCCCAGGGCAAGTGGTCTCTGTATGAGCTTTGACACTCGGACTGGGGGCTGAGAGAAAATTAATTTTCTTGCCAGAATGCAATAGTTTTCTAAATAGATGCTTGAGTGAATGAATGCGTGGGTACATACTAGCCCTGATTCATAAAGCTTCATCATCCCCTCTATGGTGTCTGTATGCTAACAGCCTTTCCTACACTCATTTATCCAGTCAGTAATGGCGAAGCATCTTGGACAAGATGGACACAGTAGGACATGCGGGGGGAAGTGGGGTGAATCCTTCAGGCAACCTGCCCTCCTGGGATTTATACACCCAGAAGGACCAGGCCTTTCTCCAAAAGCAATAATGAGAAATATACAATTATACATTTTGACAGAGGATCAACAATAGTACATGTGAAGAAAAGGTACATGTTATGCCCTGATTATCTTGTGCCATTAGCTGCAGCCACCTGAGGGCACCAAGGTCATGACCATGTTTGGTGAGTCAGTCTTTATGAACTGCCACCTGGCATGGATAAACTCCATGGTTGTTTTACCGAAGTGAGAGAGTCTTAACCCATGGCAAGGATTTTGAGAATTAGTAACTATTAAACAAAACAATCTTAGGCAGAACATGGTATGCTTACATTTAAGATGGATACACTAAGTATTTCTTACTAGCTCAAAAATGATTTAAATGGCTCTTTTAATTTACCCAGAGCTCAAAGCATTGTGAGAATTTGGGAACCTGCCACTCAAGTATTCTATCCCTTTTCATCATAACATTCAGTGAAGAAAGGGATCTAGGTGTGTACTCTTATTTAACAGAGGGGCATAATGAGGCCCAGAAGGGCTTAGTGACTGGTCCAAAGACCACAGCCAGTCAAAGAAGGCCACCTGGCTTCAGACCAGGGTGGTCTGAACAGCCACAGCACCTTCCACTGTGTTAAAAGCAACATGGAGGATTTGGATCCTGCTGTTTACACCCAGAAGCAGACACTTCGACACACACAGCTTTCAGCTGTAGCGGAGTCCAGCCAAATGAGACTGCCACTTGCTGATCAGAACACCAGTCTCGCCTGCGGCGGAGCTTGCACTGTGTCCTGAAACCATGAGCTACTGGGAAGATGGTACCAGCAGTGAAACCTGAGCCCAAAGTAGATGATTTCAAATGCTCGCGTGCTTCCAATCCAGAGAGATCCCAGAGAAGCAATTTTTTAGAGGCGAGCTTACACTGTCCCACCCTACCCCACCCCCTGAGCTTTTGAGCAAATAAGACTCCTATGTTTGCCATAGTACCTTGGGGGGGGCATTTAGTAAGTGGAAACTGAACAGTCACACAAAAGTTGTCCTGTCCCATAAGGATTTGCAGATGTCCCACTGGACATTCAAGGAAGAAAAGAATCACACTTAGAACTACCAGAATGCAGAACTTAAAATCCATTTCATATATTAATATATAAACATAAAGGAGCTTTGCATGGCTTTTATAAACTGAATGCAGCTGCTGCGTAACTGAAGGAAGGTGATTCCGTTCCGTACCAAAAGATTTTTGTTTGGTTTGGTGAGTGGATTTCTGTATGTTTTTTCTCATTAAAACAAAAACAACAACAACAAAAAAAAAAAAACACTTCCTCAACAGCAACCAAACTTCCTCATTCTGAATCACTATCACAGCCCACCTGGGCAAGTTTGCGTTTGGCATTTGTGGTTAGTGCACAGAGATACAAACATGGAATGGCCATTATATCTTGCATCTAATCTTGCCCAAGCTTTCCACACTGTGAAATGACTCTTATTTTTACTATAATAACAAATTGTTTTTAATTAACTTTTTCAATATTATCAGTTCAAGCATCATTGGGTTTTGTTGTTGTTGTTTGTTTGTTTGTTTGAAGAAAAATCTGACTTAAAGCAGGGCATAGTGAGAATTTCAAGCCAGGATGGTAAGGGTAGGGTATTGTGTCTAGTTGAGTAAAGCCTTGCCTTTGTAGGCTGGAAAAGGATACCAGGATTACCAGCTATGAGGCTGTGGGGGTGCTAATGTAGATGCAAACCATTTGAAGGGACAAAACATCAAGTGCTTTAGTGAACTTCCGACCCAGCATTTCCTCTTCTGGGACTTGATCTTACACTTGCTAATTGTGAAAGACTTAAAATCCTGGGCCCTCAAGATGGCCCAGCAGGTGAAGACACTTAGCACCAACCCTGACAACCTGAGTTCAATCCCTGGAACTCACATAGTAGAAGGAAAAAGAACCAGCTCTTGAAAGTTATCCTTTAACCTCCGGGTATATCCTGTGGTACACAGAGAGAGACATACACACAGACATGTAATAAATAAATCTTTATTCTCTCCAACAATGTCCACGAAAGCCCCCTACTACTTCCTCCTGAAGATGCGGACAGCCTTTTCACACCCAGGCGCTGCTTCAGCTCTCACTCTGCCTCACTGGCCAATGACACTGGTCCCCCAGCTGAAGCCCAGTCCCTGCTTCCCCATCACTCCTGCACACATGCGCACAGAAGCCAGCCATCTCTGCCCACTACTGCCACCTGGTTCAGCACACTACCGTTTCTTCCTTAAATTCCTGCAACCCGTTCTTAACTGATCTCGTCTCCTTTTGCACCTACAAACATGACCTCTTTAGAAAAGAAAAAACGAGATCACAAGTCCAAAATCCTGCTATGATTTCTGCATGAAGTAAAAATGCACCCATGGTCCTTGGCTCCTCACTCCGCTTCCTCTCCAGTCATTTATCCCTCGCTCGTTGGAGTTCCAAGAAAAAGTCAAGCTTATTTTCTCCTGAGGCCTTTGCGTGTACGATGTCCTCTGCCAGATTCCTCTTCCTTCAGATTGGTCCAAGGTGGCCTCTCCCTAACTTGAGTCCCGGTAAAAGAGCCATTGTGGGGCGCTTCCTCACGAGCCTCAGGTAGAATACAAGTATGCACATCTTGGAGCTCTTGGCTGCTTTCACTTCTCTTCCTAGCAGTTATCACTGCTCATTGATTGGTTGATTGATTGACACCTCCCCCCCATATGTTATCTTCTCCCTTATGTGACTGCAAGTGGCTATGTAAGATGTTCAGTGTTGTGAGAGACAACACACATTCGCTGTTAGGCTAGACTTCGCTTCTCCTAAAGTCATACCTTTCATGCTTCCTAGATTGCAGCTTGCTTCTTCATCACCAAGACCTAGGACCTCGAAAACAGCACTAGACTTGCCAAGATGGTGAGGACCAGAAAACTGGTGTCCTGAACTGATCCTCAGTCACAACTCTCCAGGACGATGTAGAGGAAGAAGACAAAGACGATGTCGCTAAAGTTGAAAACCACACATCAAACACTGACTTCTATGCTATTAGCAGAATGCTGCTGGCCACCTTTAGAACCTGCCTTCCGTCCATGTGTTGTTTCTAACCCCATGTGCAGACAGATGCTGAGGAGGCTGCAATGATGACAGGGGGTATTCTGCTTTCGGGAGCAGTTCGGCTGTGTCTAAAATACGGCCCCAGGAAAGCACAGACCTGAAAACAGCCTCAGGTCCACTGTGTCAAAACTCCTGCACGGAACAGATATTTAGGTAACCTTGAGCTGAATTCAGCTGGATGAGATGATCCATTCCAATGTTAAGCCTTCCACTGACCTGAAAGAAGTAGGCCCTTGAGCCCCTAACACAGGCAATGGCAGTGAGTGGTCCGGGAGCTTGCTTTATGACAGATGCGGCCGTTCTATTTAGCAGCTGCCCCAACTCTGAGAAGATTGTCATGGGAAAAGGGCAAAGGGCCACCCCTGAGGAAGGAAGCTGGAGGAATCATCTGGCATGGAGCAGTTCCCCCAAGCCAATGGATGCCAGCCACTGAGATTGGAGCCAACTGGCTAGGGACTGAGCTTAAGGGCTTTATGGTCCTCTGGTCCTTTCCCTACCCACCCTAGCTCTTCCCCCGGCATGAGAACAAGCACCCAGTGAGCCTCTGATCTTTACTGACAAAATGATTCCGTGTGGGAGTCTGTGCCTGTGACTGTGACTGGGTGTGTACATGATTGTGTGTAATAGCATATAATATGATGTTGTGTGTATATGTGTGACTGTGCATGCGGATGTATGGTAACCATGCCATTGCAAAAGGCAATGTGTCCTAGCATTCAGTTGAGGGGCTCCCAGCATACTGATTTCAACTGACCCTTTGTCTCTGGGAACAGGTGCCTCTCATTCACACAGCCACACCGACTTGCACAGTGAGGCAGCACCTCGGCAGCCACCCTCTCCAGTCAAGAAAAGATGCTCCTGTGGGACAGGGAGCCCTGAGTGAACAGCTGGAGCATATGCTGATGCTGCTCCTCAGCTTTTCATCAGGCTGAATGGAGAAGAGAAGGAAGAAGTCACACATCACACACCTTCCAATTGTAGGACTCGAAAGTCACTGATTTCCACAGAGGACAAGCTGCCTTTTGGGAGCAGGAGTATCTTTCTGGGTTAAGATCTGTTTCCTTTAAAGTATTCTGAGAAATTGCAAGGTTTCTGAATGTCTATCAAATAGGCATTGGTTTAAAAAAATTAATCACAGTTTATCACATAATGGAATTTTATATAGCCACTTAGAAAAGGGACTCTCAGCCAGGCTAGGGGCACACACATGGATCTGTTTTCCCACAAAGATGGAAACAGGAGGGTCAAGAGACCGGACTAGAGCAATTTAATGAGACTCTGCCTCAAAATAAAATAAAGGAGTACCATTCAGTGGTAAACACATGATGCTCTGGATTCAATCTCCATACCTCATTGATAAACGAATGATAAACTCTTACTTTTTAAAGAAAAAGAGCAGTACATATCTATGTACTGATATGCCTATATGGCAAGCTGTCCATGACGAACATGCCTGGAGAAAAGCAGGTCATAACACAGTATATACAACATATACCCCTCTGTGTCAAGTTAAAACCATGGGAACATGTGTAGCTATTTTGCTTCATGTCTCTGAATCTGCTGTAGTTTGAGTTTGAGATTCCCTCTATAGGTTTTTGAATTTGCACACTTGGTTCTCAGTACTGCTTTGGAATGTTGTGGAACTTTTAGAACCTGGGGGGAGCAGTTTTTTGGGGGGGGGGGCGGCTACTGTCAGCTCTCTGCCTGCCAGTGCCACATAACAAATGCTGGTCACATGTTCCTGTCACCAGAGACTTGAGCTCATCACCACGACAGTTTCCTCTGAACCAGGCACCAAAATAAACACCTCCTCCTGTAACATGAATCTTAAATGGTCTTATTAAAAAAAAAAAAAAAAAACCAAAAACAAAAACACCTCAGTGCCAGCTATTAGGGTAAATTCTGAAAGATCAGAGAGACAGGAACAAGCCACAGCCAACCTCACCTCACCAACTTCTCAACCAATCCTTTTTCCTCAAACTGGAAGCCTCGGAGTCCTCATCTGAATAGATCTCAATTGAACTGCTGCTAAAAAAACCTAAAAGCTTAAAAGCCTCTAGTTCCTGGTCCTCACGCCTTATATACCTTTCTGCTTCCTGCCATCACTTCTTGGGATTAAAGGCATGTGTCTTTCCCAAGCAAGACATGAGATCGCAAGTGCTGGGATTAAAGGTGTGTGCCACCATGCCTGGCTGTTTCCTATGTGGCCTTGAACTCACAGAGATCCGCATGGATCTCTGCCTCCAGAATGCTAGGATTAAAGTCGTGTACTACCACTGCCTGACCTCTCTGTTTAATATAGTGGCTGTTCTGTTCTCTGACCCCCAATTTTATTGGGGTGCACAATCTATCAACCACACCCTCCCTTAAGATGCTTCTGCCACTATTTTGCCACAGCAGCTGGGGAAGTAACTGGGTACAGTGGGCTGGCATGGGACTAACCCGAACGTCACTTCAACTGGTAACAAAGATTTCTCAGGGTGAAAACGGTGGAAGAAACAAAGGAAATGTTTTTAACCTTTTATTTTTAACTCATTGGACAAGGAGCATGTAGAGTAGACGACATGTCTAGGGTTAGACACCTGGGAAACAGCAAAATGACACCAGTGTTTCCAAAGGACGGTTTGTGGATAACAATCTGTTTCTAAAATCATCATGGTAGGAGGGGCTCACTCTCCTGGGCTGGAACAGGGCTCTGGACAGAGGAAACGCCCATGCCTTTCAGTTGCTGGGCACCCACAGGCCCAGCAGTGCAGCCTGGGAGCATCCCTGGAGCCCCTAGACTGCATGCGTTGGTGGTATTGTCACTGGTAACAACTATTTTGAATGCTGAGTTTCATTTTGTGCTGCTCTTCAATTGGTTGCTTATGAAAAACTTCTTAGAAGGTATGTTTTTGGATGGAAGGATAAAGTACTTAAACTCTAAGAATATCAATAATTGAAAAAGTAAATTTCTCTGCTACATTACTGGTACAATAAAGATAAACAAAGTAGTTAAAGTGTTGCATGAAACAACTGAATCCATAAGAAGTCAATAAGTTCAAACACCATGCACATTGATATATGTGCATATATATTTATGTCTGTTTGAAATCAATCTTACGATTATCCACCTTCAACTTCTTATGTCGGGTAAGGCTCTCCAATACCTTCAGAAGCCTTCACACATTCCATGGGGAATATTTTGAAAGATACTTTCATGTTGATAAATGATCTATTAAAACATACACACATTCCAAAATATGCACATTTAGATGAGATTAGCACCCCTTTTTTAGTTACATTTACTTATTTCATGATTTTATTGATTTATTCAGTGGAGGGGCGGGGGGCGGGGGGATGATGAGCCACGCATGCGCCGCAGCACAGCCACGAAGGTCAGAGGACAACTTGCAGTCGCTGATTCTCCCCGCGCACGGTGCGGATCCCAGGGATCAAACTCAGGTGGTCAGCCTTGGGCACCGGTTGAGCCATCCCATTGGCCCTGGCTACGGTTTGAGTTCTTCCTGTCAACAGTCTGACTCAGCATGGAGTCGAACTGACAGAGAAGACTGGGCAGACCCTCCGTGGTACAAAGAGGAGCTCGTTTAGAAGCCCTCACTGTGTGGCCGTCTCATCCTGTTGATTCTGCATCTGTGCACGTCCTGTCATAGGAACTGGAATGGAGTTGACTCCCTGTCGTCGTCTCATTATTCAAATCTTCTTAGTGAACAAAGAAGCATGGCCACTTTTTCTACAGTAGGTCTTGAGCAATTACGTGTTTCAGGAGTATGGCTTGAAGTTAAAGAGCAAGGCTTCTTATCCAGACTCACCTGAACAAATTAGGGAGCATGGGACAGATGTGTGCTTTATAACATGATTTAAAGCAGCAATCTCGTTTAATAGGAATTTTGTAAATCCTTTTAAGAACTTAGTGAAGTAATTGTGAAGACAACAACATTCTGCTCTAAGAACATTTATCACAATATTGTCTATACTAGAATAAGAAGCCATGGCACTGTCTGAAAACAGGTTGTTGGTTAAACTAATTACGGTTGATTCATGTAAAATTATGCTGCTGTTAAACTTGATATTAGGGCTGGGGATGTGGCCCAGTGATGGGCACTTGCCTAGCATGCATAAGGATCTGGGTTCCATCCCTGGCACCAGAAAGAAAACATTTTAGCTTATGCTAAAGCTACATGTACAGGTTAATTTTTTTTGTCAACTTGATACAATCTAGAGTCACCTGAAAAGAGGGAACCTCAACTGAGGGCTTTTTCTCCATCACACTGGCCTGTGGGGGCATTTTCTTGATCAGTGACTGATGTGGGAGGGCTCAGCCCATTCCATTGTGAACAGTGCCACCCCTGGGCAGGTGGACCGAGGTTATAAAAGAAAGCAAGCTGAGCAAGCCATGGACAGCAAGCCAGGAAGCAGTGTTATTTTCTCTGTGGCCTCTGCTTCAACTTCTGCTTCAAGCTCCTGCCTCAAGTTCCTGTTTTGGCTTCACTTGACAATGAACTATAAGCTATTAGATGAAATAAACTGTTTTCTTCATAAGCTGCTTTTGGGCCAGTGTTTTATCATAGCAAAAAAGCAAACTAGGATACTATCTTAGCTACTAAAACTCACATTGACCAAAAAAACTTTAAATATATAATACATTTATACAATAGCAAGCCAATGCTTTAAAATTACATTCCCCAAGGTAGGCATAGAAACCAGAAAATTCCTCAAATGTCTTTATTGTTATTGTTAAAGGAGTTACTGTGTTTCTTAGGTTTTATTCAACCATTTCTTTTGTATTGTAGAAGCAACATGTGCACATAATTTTCAAGCGTTCAACCAGTACAGAAAAGTAAAAGAGGATATGAAATCTCCCTTATATTCAAACAGAAAGACTATTAACATTTTCAGCTTTCAGGATTTTTGTTGTTGTTTGTTGGCATGCATGCCTGTGTGTGCGTGTGTGCGTGTGTGTGTGTGTGTGTGTGTGTGTGTGTGTGTGTGTGTGTGTGTATCCGGCTTCCACTGTGAAATTTACACTTTGACCTTTTATTATTTAACCACCAACTTGGACATTTTACTTTGGCTTGCTTTGTTTGTATTACAGTGGTAGCAATAGAACCCAAAGCTTCAGGCATGAGGGGCAAACCTCCTTCCATGGAGCTGCAGACCAGAGAACCTAGATATTTGTATAATGCACTCTGCATGGCATGTGCAGGGTGTGTAGAGCCCTTGCTGTCCTAGAGATGGCTGCCTGATGCAATGGGCCCATTTGTTAGCTTCATTTTCTCATGCTCTGTTAACCAGTTTCCTTGGACTCGTCACAATGAAAGAGGACTTTAAGAATTGCTACTTACCTTCCCCACTATATTCTATTTCAAGTATGAGTATTTGGCAAATATACAACATTCATTTCCATTTTTTACTTTATCAAGGTTTATTGTATCTATGTTTATAAGTTAATTTTCCAGGCTTTGTGTGCAAATTTACTATAAAACCTGAGAGCCCAAAGCTGTATTTGTTATTGTCAGAGTCTATGACTATAAGGAAGCTGAGTGGACCCACAGAGAACACATGGACTTCGAATATGAACAAGGCTCTTTCAAGTTAGCCTTTTCCCCTTTCTTCAAACAGCCACGAGTTTAAAGATCCACATAGTCTATTTTCGTTGAAAGCGGTTATCATCTCCAGGCTACAACATTCAGGTAAAGGCTGTCCAGGAGGGTACATGATGCAAAAACTGCAGGATGACTGGAAGATGGAGCTGGAAGATGCTGAGAGGTGCCAGTTAGCACTCTCCAGAGAGCACTGCCACCCTGAGTGCAAGGCCTGCCCCCAAAGCAGATGCTCCATCTGCTGTGACCACTGTGTATGCAGGGCTGAAGTCAAGCAAGGCTGCCCGCAGGAGCCCTGCGGCACAAGGTGAGCGCCAAGAGCAAGGAAATGTTGCTGTGCAAGGGGTCACATGGACGGTACTCAATGACCTGTTGTTCTGACAACAGAATGGGAGAAAATAAATGGCTTGGGAAACAGGCTAGAAAGGAGGCTACTTTACTTTATACCCAGCCATCCTTTAAATGGTGATTTAGGACATCCAGCAATACTAAGTGAGGGGAGGGAAAGGGAGGAAGAAAAGGAAGGAGAATAAGGAGGGAAAAGATGACTAAGAAGATTAGCTGGCCACAAATAAGTCTAAGAGTTTATTTAAAAATGTAAAAAGAAAAGAAAAACTTATCCAAACATACAGAATACTTCTAAAGAAAGAGAGACAGAAACAGACATAGAGATAAATTTAGCTTTCAAGGAGATAAAAACTATGTCTTAGGTTTACTG